TTTTTTTTTTTTTTTTCCCTTCAACCCCCCCAAGTAACGGTGGAAGTGGTAATGTTTCCTGTTTTTAAGGGAGCAGTGACACATCTTCAGAGACCTCGGAGGACTCGGACAGCAGCCCTTCCACCCCGCAGGTACGGCCGCGGGCAGAGAGCCTTTGCCAAAGCACCCCACAGCAGCGGCAGTGCCAGCGCTGTGTCCCCACGGTCCTGCCTGGCCCGAGACCCACAGAGCAGCTACGGGGCGGGGGGTGGGGGGGGAAATGCATTGAACCGTATTGAAATACCGTCGGTGAGGGTGGGGTGATGGTTGTCACCTGCCATACGCAATGATGTCCCTCATTTAGAGGGAAATGTCCCCAGGGGTCAGGGAGGTCCCTGGGCACAGCTCGGCACCTTACACGGCCACACATCTTCGTGGGGTTTCAAGGGCAAAGCCCCCCCGGGTGGATGCTGGTGCCTGACCTGGGGTTCGTGTCTGCTTCTCCAGGGCCCTTCCTCGGCAGAAAAGCTCAATTACACGTCCCTGGTCTTCCCGGGGAAAGGCCACGGGTCAGGTTCCGCCAGGGACTACGAGAATGTGAAGACTGGGGAGGACTACGTCAACGTGGACCCAAAGAAGAGGAAAGTGGATTTCTGGCCCTGCTCCAGCCCGGTGGCATCCAAATCCATCGAGTACACCGAGGTGAAGCTGTGAATCCCGGGATGCTGCTGGCGGGGTTGCGGGTCAGACCGCTGCCGGGACGGGGAGATGCCCGAAGCCTCCGGCAGCGCGGGACCAGGGCTGCCCCTTCGGCGCCCGGCACCGCCTGGCGCCTGCCAGCTTTTAGTCCCTGTAACACTCAAACCCACTGATACAATTTGCTTGGCCTTTTACTTAAATGCATCACTGTTCCTGAAGGCTGCTGAGCGTGGGATGGCGCAGGGACGCGTTCCTCCTGCCCAGGCTGAAATGTGCTCTCCAGTTCTATGTGATGGCCCTTTTTCTCATTTTGTGAAAGCAAACGAAACATCCCCCCCCCTCGCCCCCTCAAAATGGATGTAGTTAGGGAGGGAAATGCAGTGGTCTTCAAAATATCCCCCCAAACTGGCTGGCACCTCCTCTGAATGATGCTTTCTTTGCTGATTGCTGTCACAAAATACTTGTACATCCAGTTTCTCCCCCAGCTTTGCCCTTGCTGCCCCACAAGCTCTGATTCCTCACCCTCCCCTGCACTCCTTTTCTTTTGATGCTCGAAGCCTTTCCATGTCCCCGTCACCCTCGGAGCTGTCGCTGGGGCTGGGGTGGCCGTGCGGGTGGCGTGACCCCCAGCCACGCACCGGGGGGATGCCAGGGCCGGGGAAGCCCTGCCGGGGACCTTCCTCCCCCAGCTGAAAGCCGTAGGCATCAGCCCAGCTGGCAAAGGGATTTATATCCCCCCTCCTCGGCGGGAGGACCTGGGCTGGCTACTGGTGCCTCTGGGCTGTGAGGGGCACAGGACTGGACCACAGGTCTCCACGTGAGCACAGGCAAGTCAAATCTCTCTGTGTCTTGTGGGGAGGGATGATATTCGCTGTCTCCCACCTTTTGCTTTTCCTGCTTTGTCCCCGCACCAAATGCCCTGGGTGCAGGAGTCGGCTGCTCTCCCTCCTGCCCCAAGTGATGCCCGTACCCAACAGAGCTGCAGAGGGGGGTCAGTGCCCGGGGCTGGGGCACACGCCGCTGCCCCCACTGCGATCTGGCACCGCGTTTCACATTTTCCTTAAGTATCGGTTTAATTTCCAGGGGACTTGAGGTACAGCACTGCAATTTTCTCTAACAAAAGTGAATTGGGGGCTCTGCGGCTTGCAGAGATAAGCTCGGGATTGCGAACCGAATATGCTCGAAGGCTGTTATCTTCTCAGCGGTGCTGCCTCCCCTCGCCGCGAC